TCATGAAACAGATTCAGAAATCTGAGGCCCAGACCTAAAAAGGTTGTAAAGAAACTGATTTATAGATACATACATACTTGATGTGTTAACTTATGTCAACAACTATAATTCCAGTCTAATGGATGGTTAACTGATACTTCGTGAATCTAATTAATAACGTCTCAAGTAAGTAAATTATAACATATTTCTATTCACCTATTATGTGGTCCATAATGGCTTGTAAGACTCGGGATAATAGACACATAACATATCGACATGATGGCGCCTCTGAAATGTGAAACCATCCTACATAAAAGTCGGGATTAATATACACGTCACTCAAGCTTGTAACTGGGTCACAGAAACTAATATATCATCTTTTAATAAATAATCTCATAAAATTTTAATAAAATAATCTATATATATTATAATTTGTTTATGTCATGATTGGAAATAAAACGGGCTTTATTATTATTCTTAAATAATAAATTATTTTTATTATTAAGTACTGGAGCTATATATGATAATTATTAAGAACAGGACCATAAACATACATTACAGATGCTGCATTTAGGAGGTTAGGGTTTGTCCTGCGGAATTCAGCTGGTCTCTCGGAATCAGCTGCGTCATATGAAAGGTATTAAAGGGTAATGATTAAAAGGGTGCAAAAGAAATTCCTTAGAAACTTATATAAAATAAATTCAACTTGTCTCCTCTATCCTACTAAGTTCTTGATGGACGTTTACGAGGTTAACTTCGTAGGTATTTAGATTTTATCAAATTTGGTTTTAGCATAATAATTAACGAAACGGAAAGCGCATACTTGCTGGGAGAGATTATGAGACTGGACGTTCCGTACAATTATCACCGCTGCCGAAAACATATCCTGTATTGACTGCTGTGTCCAGCGTCAACAAGCTCCCATTCCCCGCTTACTTTTTCAGCTTATTAGTTTTCTCGACTCTTCGCCCGAGAGCGACCTATTTGTGAAGCGTATGGGTGTATTATACTTTGATTTAAAAATATATTTTAAATCATAGTATAATAATAATACTTAATTGTATATATATTAGTCTTATAATATTTTAACTGAAATTTGGCTGTAAATAAATAACGTAGAGTAGAAATATTTTTCAATTCATCAGTGTTGGTAGCTATACCAAAACCTATGATAACTCAATATAAGTACTGTTTAATTTTTAATTTTATAACATCATTAATGGTATTATAATTGAAATACTGAGAGCATGCCGATAAATTCCAATATCTGAAGTTTCTATTATAAGATAGGAATTTAATTTATAGGTGAGGGGTGACATATTAACGCTTGTTTTTTTATGAAAAAAATATTGTTCCTAGCGATTCCGACTGTGCGTCAATGGATTGTGTCTTCGTGTGCAATTGACTTGCTTGTAGGGGCAATCATCGTGAGAAAACTATCATGTATTAGACCCAAATACATTTAACGTGTATCAGATGATAACCTGCTTGCTAGGATAACGAACAATAATCAAAAAAAACGATGGAAAATTCTGAGCATAAGTACGAATTATTATTAATTGTGTATATTGTGTATTATATATATGTATTTGGAACATCTTTTTTGGTTACTTAAACAGTGGGCGAAAATGGCCGATACGACAAAAATTCTAGTTCAGAGACAACTTTGGTTGATTTTAATGCACATTATTTTTAATTTATCAAAAACTCTAATTTACATGGTTACAGTTTAATCCTAGATAAGCACATAGGCTCAATTATTAATAAAGCCTACCGTATGTTAAGCTTAAATGTCACCAGACATTTTAAAGAAAAACCACGTACATTCACCTCTATAAGGCGCTTGTGCAGTCCCAGTTGAGTACGCCTGTCCAATCTGGAATCCCCATTACGCTATATATGTCGCACAACTGGAGGCTGTACAAAAGAAATTCTTACGTATTCTAAATTATCGTATGAATGGTGGTAGGGCTAGTTATAAGGAACTTTTAAAAAAATATAAATTACTTTCTTTGAGTACTAGGCGTAATTTGACAGACTGTGTCACTATTAGAAAAATATGTGTAAATGAAATAACTTGTTCCCATCTTCTCGAACTGATACCATTTAATGTTCCTGCCAGATCTCTGCGCTCGCACAGAACTTTTAACCTTCCGACTCCCAGAACCAACATTGGGTTCCGTGAGCCTCTTCACAGGATGTGTTCCACCTTGGATTCCATCACTAACATCGACCCTTTTTCGCACTCCTCTACTGCTTCATTTAGGAATAAGTTAAAACTCTTAATATCTTAAGCTTTGTGTCTAGTTTGGTGTTAAATTTTGCTGTCATGTTTTTGTCTTGTCTTACTTAGTATTGTATTTTTTATTAGTGAAACTTTTTTTTTTGAGGATATGTCCAATGTGTATTTAGTTTATGTTCTACATTTATTTTATTTTTCTGTAGTGATGTATCTGTTTAGTTTCCAATAAATAAATAAAGGAACATATATGCATGTCATCATTACTAATGCCAGTTAAATATTACTAATGTTAACTTGATACAGATATTACATTTGTAATACAATTTCTTCTAAATAAAATTAATTAATGAAATCAAACCATAATTATAACACAAAGTTAAGTAATTAGTATACAAAATGGAATAACTGCCAGTTAAGAATCCTGATAGCATCTACCTTTTTTATAATTATTTAAAAAATACATTAAAAGTGGTAATTTTATTTATGTAGCTGATTCTGTTTGTAGGAAACTCCTATATAATATAGCATGATTTGTGTATAAAGCACCTTGATACACAAAAGGGTAAAATCGTCACTGTATAATGATAACCTCGTATGTCCAAAGAACCAAACATTACAGGAAACGAAAAAAATGTTCAATTTCATCAATGTTTGTTAAAATATTATTATGTGTTTTTGTCCATAGTTTTGGATGGTAAAAAAGACTTATTTATTAATATCATAAATAAGTCCTTACTTCATGATTATACCAGTTAAATGACAGAGTCTAAGAATAAAAAAAGGGTTGTTTGAGATACAAAGATATCATTCTACAGTGATGAAATGTTTTTGTAAAGTCCTGAACCATAAACCAAGAACCACAAATATTGAGTTAAAGATCCAAAATATATATATAACAATATCTATATATTACTAATGTTCCTCTGCATCAAAACTCTAGAAACAAGTTTAGACTACTACTAGAAGCTAGAACTGATATTGGCATCAAGCTATTTAATAGTCCATAAGTGATTATAAATTAAATTTAAATGGTTCTCATATAAGTGATTTTTTGAAACCTCTCTTTTAAAGGAATGATGAGATAGATTTAAAGGAATGAGATGATGTAGTATTAAGTATCCGTCAAGAAGGCTTGCACTGTTTCAGATGAGCATATATTCTTTTAATTTTTTATCCCACAAAAAGTACATGCCCAAAACTTTCTCTACCACAAAAAAATCTAGTTACTTCTAGTAAAGAAATATATTTTCCAGCCAAAACCATCTACTTTAAACAGTATGTAACAGTAAGGAAGTTTTTTGTATAGATAAATCTGCACATACCTTGGTTTTGTAGTAATGATAGACTATTATCTCTATTGTCATTTTGCATGGTTAGAGTTTGAAATTAAGACCCATTAAATCTAAACCAAAGGACAAAAGATAATTAACAGGAAATAAACTTGCACAGCATTAGAAGTAACATAGTTTAGTTCATCTAAAATAAAAATATAACATTAACTGTTGAACCAGCATATAATAACATCAACTGGTTTAATTTAAAATGATTCAATCATATTATATATTTAGTATTCATTCTTGAATATCAATTTGAAATATAATTAATATAAAAATGGTAAAACCTTCTTGATTTCGTTTTGAATCAATGGCGCTACAACCTTTTTAGGTCTGGGCCTCAAATTTCTGTATCTGTTTCATGATCATTTGGTAATCTAATAGGCAAGCCGGATTCCTCACGATATTTTCCTTCACCGTTCGAGCGAATGTTAAATGCGCACATAGAAAGAAAATCCATTGGTGCACAGCCGGTGATCGAACCTACGACCTCAGGGATGAGAGTAGCGAGTCGAGTGGAATTTATTGAATACTTGACTTACCTTTATTGAATAAATAATTTCTCAGGTAACTGCATGTAGTGGACGACCATTAATTTAATTTCAGTTTTCTTCAAACAGTAATAATTACAAATCGGTATCTAAAATTTAAATTTCACTACTTTTATCAACAACATTTTAATTGAAATATATCAATAATCAAAAGAATCCACAAATCACAGACTAATCACTAAATCCACAGTCAATAAAGCCTATAAGTTTTAATATGATACAGGCAATAAATTTTGAAGAACCACAGAATCTTATTGTATATTCCCAATTTTTGGGTAAAATTATTACATATTACATTAAATATGAACCATTAATCATTAGCTGAAAGTGTTAACTTTTAGACGATGTAGTACGATGCGCTGCGAGAAAGTTTTCTTTCCTAAACATTTTTTTGTCTTTAATATTTCTGAAGTTATACTTCTTTTGGCGCGTTAGGGGAAAATAATGAGAGTAAATTTTTTAATATACGCGCGTACGCCGTCACAAAAAACCGACACTCTGAAGTTAGCTATAGTCAACATTTTAGTTTTTTCTATGGTTAGTGTCGTTTTTTCTACAAACGTAGAATAAAATTTTCTGAAAAGATTTTTATCTTGTTACGCCAAAGAAGTATAACTTCTAACGCGTGTACATAAACTTTACACACACGTTTTTTTTTCTTACACTAAAGCTTACGGGTAAATATATTTTTAAGACTGGTCACTCAGGTTACTATTGATTTTTTATTTGTAGGAATGTATTAATTTGTTTGTTGCGCAATATTGAAAACAACCAAGTACTAAGACAAACACAACAATACATCCTAAATAGTAAATTCTTGCCTTGGACAAACCAAATTCTATTGCAAAATTATTATTTCAATTATTTAAGGAATTTGAAACCCACTTAAAGGATATGAATACGTTTATGGACAAAATCAAATCAATTTTTGGATTAAGACCAGAACCGCCTAGAAACGATTTCAGAAACCCTATTTGGGGCTCAGACGATGATGATGAAGACGAAATATATTCGAGGCAGCAATTGGACATATACCAAGACCCTCTTCAATTACAACAAGAATTTGCCAAACATATGCAAGAAATGTTTAAAAGTTTCGGCAGTGTGTTTGGTGACATGAAGTCATTTTTCGATGACGATCCTTTAAAAACCTTTCAGGCTGTACCAGATCTACATTCATTCGATTCCCAATCACAGACAGAGGATGCCGATAGCAATCGTATAAGAGATTTCTATTTGAAACCTGGCTATCATCATAAACATCATCCAAAGGAGGATATAGATTTAGATGGAAAAATATCCTCAAATGATATCTCAGACTTATTTAAAAAGAAACCAGAGAACCATATAGTACCTGCAACTCCTTTTAATGGAAATATGGTGCCAGGTAGGTCATTTTGTCAAACAATTATAACAACAAGTGTTAAAAAGCCTGATGGCACAATAGAAACTAAAAGGATTGTTAAAAATGGCAATGAAGTAGTGGAAGAGACCATAACCTCGACAGAACCGACATCAAAAGGTCCTTACCCTGGATTTAATCCAATAGACACAACAAATATCATGTTTTCACAACTCTCATCATTACTGAAAAATTTTTACTAAAATTATAGCTTACATACAAGGTCATATATTAGAAGTAGAAGTTATCTTAAAAATTATGTTAAAATACCATCCTTGTAATATATATAAGGACAGTAGTCCTTTGTATTTATACTTTACATCTTAATGTTTGTTGTTTCTGTAGTCTGACTTACCAAAAATAAACATCTATCTGAAAAATATTTTTTTTTTTAATTAAGAAGATTTAAAAGTAAAACCCTTTTTTGTTGAATAAATAGCAGCTTTTATTACTAAAATTAAATTATTGTCACTCTTAGATTAAATAAATATTGGTTTTGCAAAAATAATTAGATTTTTTCAGGAACATTCATTAAAACATAAAAGCTATTGTTTAAATAATCATACAATTGTCAGTACTTCCTTATGAAGTTTGTTGGTCTATACATAATGATTCAAGCATTCACTTGAAACATAGCCTGTATTATTAAAAACAACTAATACAAAATTTAAAGGGAGCCTAGGATATGCTTGGTGTTTTTTATTTGTGTGGTGTTCAGCCTTTTTTAACTAGTTCCTACTATAATTGTTTTCTAATTACAATTGCCAAAAATATTTTTTTATTCTATCTTATGGGACAGACTGTTAATTCATTGGCAGTAGCAGGCATCTCTTGTATTGCTTTTGATCCAACTCAAGTATCTGTTTACTCTTGAATATACACCAGGACGGCCTGGTCTAGCACATCCTTCCCCCCAGGAGACAACACCTAGAAAAAAAGCTAGAATTATTTTCATTTTAGTGCCTATGTGCACACAGCTTTGATCATGTGGCCACAATGATTATTGGTTAAGCCAACAGTTTTTTTGCTCTACAAAATGTTTAAAGATATATTATAGAAATTTATAAAATAATATTATAACTTATACTGACCAACAACTTCATAAGCTTCAGTAGTAGTATTGCGTACGTGTAGTGGACCGCCAGAATCACCCTGACAGGCATCGCGGCCTCCCTCATCATATCCGGCACAAATCATGTTTTCTGTGATTCGGCTTCCATAAGTGGTTTCACGGCATTCAGAGTTTGATAATATTGGAACATGGACCTGGTAATTAAAAGTAATCTATACAAATAGCATTTTTTGATTGACTTGTTCTTCAGATCCTGAACAGATTGCGTTATATTCGTGATTATTTCATAAAACACAACATCACAGTTACATGGTAAACAAAATATATTGGCAAGGGTTCAAATATTTCAAATAATTAATGTTTGTGATCTATAGAAGTATATTAATTGAGATTTATTGGATGTGTTATTTGTTTCAGCCTCTCTCTGAAATCCAATACCTACTACTTTCTATCAAATGTCTGAAATATTAAAAAACTTAGGTCATTAGCACTTTGTACTTAGATTATAACTTTACCTCTTGTAAGGTACTAGAAACTGATCCGCCCTCTTCCGTAGTGCCCCATCCAGAAACCATGGCTGTTTCGTTACTAAAGGAAAGGTGTGCTGGTGGCAGACAAACAGGGCGGACACCAACGTCGCTAACATCAGATTCGTCTTCTCCTAAACCAGCACGCTTTACGGCGCTGCTGAGATCAATCTGAAAAATAATATGTTGATTATGGGACCCTGCTGAAGCACGTATAACGATACGTGTGCGTTGGTTTGCTATACCAGGATTTTTTATGTAATATTACAATAAAATCGAAGAATATGCGGTTGTAGGAAAGCGACGCAAAAATAAAGGTTTGACAAATAACTTGACCTAATCCACCGCCTATTTTCGTAACATCTTCTGTCTTGGTCTTAGATGTCTAGGATTCGATACTTTAGGTTCAATATTTTTTACTTTAATTTAACGACAAGTTGCTCTTACTTAATTAATACAAAAAAGTGTTTGAGTTAGATTAGATTTATCTTTCAGTTACTTACTCTCTTATCCAGTTTTAGTAAAGCAATATCATTATCGTATGTGCTTGGGTTGTATCTAAGATGTCTGATGATACTGGCCACTTTTCTTTCAACAGTCTTGGTTTCATTGGCCGTGTTTCTGTCATGTTCTAATAATCGAACTGTGATCTTCTCCTTGCGGAATCTATAGTATTGATAAGAAATGTTTTAGAATGGAATTTGATTTATAATTTTTCTGCGCATATATTACACAGATTTAAAGGCCTGATTTTATAATTTTCTTGTTATATACGGGTGCGCTGTATTTGTTACCTCTCTTTTACTTAATATACACATACCTTAATATCATGTTGTCTTAGTTTCGTAAAGCGTTGTTAACGAAAACATTTAGTTTCAAGCATTCGAGTATATTATCTAATCTAACAATAATAATTTTACAATTTTAACTAGGCCCAGTTTACTACGACATTTAGCAGAGACATGTATTAAGGGTATTGTGTCGAATGTCGATCTATTATATTTTTTTAAATAATACTTACCCAGAAGTACAATGGGCAGCTGTAGCTATATACAAATCATTTATGACGGAGCCTCCACAATAGAATCTTCCTCCATAGAAAAGGGCTGCCATCCATGGCAACTCTAGTTTTTTGGTTTCGGACCCACCAACGATGCGCCTTCTTGTACGTGCAATCCCGCACTCTGTATACATAGAACTCATTGTTATAGTCGTAGGCTTACACTAATAGAGCCAGTTATGTTAATGAGAAACATAGTATAGATTATATTATTTCCTGATTTATAAAAAAAGGCTCCTATATTAGAGTAAATATGAAACCAAAAATATTAAAAGTTTAAAGGAATTTATGCCCTCAACAGTAGTGTTGTGTACGGACTCCGCAACTTCATATTTTATATATTTCTATTAATCTTAATCTCTGTATTAATTGTTCTTATTACCTCCACATATTTATTCTACTATACATGAATAGAACTCATTATCTGTAAATTTAATACACTTACGGCAAGGTGGGCAGTCCTCGGGTGGATCGTTTGCTGGTATTACTATGGTCGGTAGAGTGGATGTTGTTCCGATCCAGTTATTTATCCAATCTATCAGACCTTTTTCCTTTGGATCTTCAGGCATCTCAAGAGTGTGAGCGCTAGCGCCGATCACGCATATCATCAATATCATGAACTGCATTGTTATCTCTGAAAAAGGCAATTCTTTGTTCTAACCTATGAACGAGCAGTGGTTCTTTTAAGGGTTTTTTTAATGTTTCATAATGCATATACCGCTTGTATGGTTCCCCGGTTAACTTTGATAGGAGAAAATATTAATGATCTAAGGTTATAATGCCAGAATAATTATTGGAGTATCGACGATGTAAAGATACTTCTCGTTTTTTGGGGGTTTGTTACCAGATAAAATTAAGGTATTAAATACATCAAAGGTATTGTCATCGAACAAAATTTGCCTTCCATAAAAAATTAGGGGATGCCCAGTAGTAGCGAGATTAATTAATTATTTGGAATACTCGTAAAATTGTAAGATCACCTTACTGAAGAGTTAGGTATAATTTGTAGTCGAAATTAAAACTGTTGTTATGGCACTTTAGGCAGAAAATTTATATCCCGTACCCCAGAAGAGGATTAAAGGACTTGACTCGCTTTCTTTTAATAGAAAAGAACTTGTAAAGAAAAAGTTATAAAAAGAGGCAAAATCTTAGAAATCGATGTTATAGATACCGATTAATGCCGAGCCAAGAATTGATTAGATGCTTCAATCTAGTAAATACGCACACCGGTTTGCACGAGTGCCTCTTAAATGAACTTCTACATGATTAATATCGAGTCAATGAAAATTGAACAGAATTTTATCGAAATAAAGTGCATACTTGCATACTAGGTAACTAGCAACTCTTGAATTGCACGTAAGTACGAAGACGCTATGAGCCTTATCAACTTATTCACAAAGACCAATTTTCTCACATCTTTGGAAACTGAAATGCTATCATTGCTATTTATGAGAATCAGACCCTGATGACTTGTCTATATACCGCTACATCCATTCATCTTAACATTAAAAGTAACATGCGAATTTTATCGTCCGCAAAATTGACCTCAAAACTTAAATTGACCGCATACTTCTTTTATTAAGAATTATTACATTTAACGAGGTCTTAAAAACATTTTATTTTCTTCTCCGAATACTCTTAAAATTTATGGTGCATAGGTAACCTATAAATTGGTGAAAAATTAAAAGAAATTTTAACGTAATTCATTACTTTTAGAAATATTTCTGTAGGCGCTACAGATAAACCCCTGACAGGATCAAAATTCAAGTAAATTGTCTTTACAATGACTGCTGTAAAGCGCTTAAATCATTGAGACATCTAAATAATGTAGTAAATTCGTGTTTATATCCGTTGTCAACTACTTTCTAGTCTCAAAAACAAATAATTGTTTAATATAATTTATTATAAAGGTCCTACTTAAACAAGTTTTGAGAAAATACAAAATTGACCAAGATTCAGGTCCTATAACGGACTTTTGTATATATTTGACCTTGATTGCGCATTGGCATGATAAATTAGCGTTATTATGTCCATATTACAATGAATTAATGGTATACCATCATACTGATTACGGATAATTCAAAATTAATTCTTGAAACCCTTACGGATTGTACTGTTAGGTCTATCAGAACCGGCATTTTATATCGAAATGATGACCGAGTTTTCATGATATGTTAGATTTAGGTTTAAATAATACAGCGCTTTCCTGGATTTTTAACATACATAGCGGTCACCACTCCTCAGGTCAATTCATGACTGGGGGGGGACCTATGGATAATGGGGGAAATACAATTTCTTAGAAAAGATCCATAAGGACGCAAACATTTTTCTGACCTATATAATACTGCCTGCCTTGTGTTGAAATTCGTAGATGACGTTTGCTCATGCAAAAACTACAAAGCGTGGGTGTTTGAACTTTATTTCAAAACGTTTTGGATAAAGGTGTTAAATATTATTTTCTATTGATTTTGATTTACGGATTCCTGAGAATGAAATTATATTCTCGTACAAAAGACGTTGAGGTATTCGTGGTTGTTTATTATAAATTGAATAAATTTCTTGGCTCGATCTTACTATTGAAATGTGACTGAAATTATAATGTTATGTCCCTTTTATTATGCCACAAGCATGCTCCCGATAGCTAGAAAGCTTCTAGTTTTCCTGTTTTTCAAACATTAGAAATCTAACGTTAGAAAGCAAATAGATACATATATGAGAAATTATAGTGAAGTATAAGGTTATTCTACCTTATTAATAAAATAACGAAAAACGTCTAAAATAGTGAAAAATTAGGCATGTGCACTTTTGTGAAACGTATTTAAACTACTACTACTACTTTTACGTTTTTTTTTGCGTGAAGACAAAAATGTTACCATTGTGGCTCTATGTATATTTTGAAATCTATACCAGAATATAATATATCTGATTTAGCCGTTTAAGTATAAAAAAAGTTACAAATAATATAATGTACGAATTTAATTTAGTTTTAGCTAAATCCTAATTTTAGAAATAGAATACCAAAAATTACCTTATTCTTCCAAGCACGAACAACACTTAATTAATAAAATTACGTACGCCAAGTCGCAGTAAAGGAAGACGAGTGACAACTCGCAAATACGCGAAGCTCGTTAAGGAAAGAGAGAGAGCTATCACTTTCACTCCGCTCCACATAATCCTGGAGCCTTAATGCATCAGAAACCAGCGATTGCGCAGTTATAAGGGCCTAGAATCGCTGTAACAAATACCACGATAGTTACAAGGTAATTTCAGTGGAATCATTATCGGTTATTACCATTTTTTCCTTTATGTGGGAAATTGTTCGATGATCTTTATGCGTGAATCATTTGACAAAATAAGATAAATAAACGACGCTCGGGAGTATTTTATTATTCATTAAAACTCTTTGTCTTGATTTATAAAAAAATAAGGCTGAATATTTTATTTGGGCGAAGCTTTTAATTTTAACACACTGCCGGTTAGTAATTATTTTACTATATTACTTTGCAATACAGAAATCTAAGGCTGTTTATCATTAAAATAATTAATTATAAATGCCTTAAAATAAAGTAAAGTTACTTGAAATAATTCAAAGATGTGTTAGTCATAATCATGAATATAAAATATACATCTTCAAAGACGTCACTCTGAATAAATCTTTTATTTATTTTATAACGCCTAAAAGAAACTCTTAGCTAGTTGGCTTCAATTAAAAGGCAAGGCGCATTTATTATTTAATTATATTAAATTGGATTCAATTTATGAGCCGTTAAACATTAAAATTAAGCAATTAACTTTTATATTAATCAAATTTATAAAAACAGTTATCGTTTTTTTGTTTGATTTAATACAGAAACATTAAAATGTTGGTTATCTGTCGATACTCTGTACGTTGAAGAGACATAAAAAGTATTACAAGTATTAATATTTAATCTTGACATGCATATTATAATGACGCTAAATTAATTTTTGATTTGCTATTTAAATCTCTGTTTTACTTTAAAAAGTTGATTTACTGTGAGTTTAAAGCAACACAGATGAGCGTTAGAATAAGATTAAGAAATAAAACTAAAATAATAATAGTATTGTCTTTGATTGACATAACCTTTACACATTTAAAGAAAAAACTTTTTTAACCGGATTTAAAATTATGTTAATTAATTGTAAATTTATACAATACATAACTTTAATCCGGTTAAAAAAGTTTTTTCTTTAAAATAATAATTTCAAATCAGTTGATTGGTTTTAGTTATAAACGAATTTTTTTGGAAAGTAGAAAAACACATCATTATGACAAAGTGGTGTTAACTTTAGTAGGTAAGCGTCGAATATTTCTATGTATCTCAGTTTGGCGAACAACCAGGGGCGTATAAGATTTTTCATACAATAACTTGACATAGACGAAACTTATGTTAGCGTTTAATATTTTGTCAAACTCATGATAACAGTAGAAAATATTCTATACTATTAGAATAATGTACCGATAACGCAAAACCAGGAGTGATCGCTTGTTTCAATAATAATTGTTTCCTCCTTCCTCGTACGGCAATAAATGTTTATATCTTGACCTCTTATTTCTCTAAATTGGACATCAAACATGAAAATTAAGTGTTCGGTTTTTACGATGATAAGTTCTTAATATTTCAGTAAACAGTTAACTTCAAGTCATCTGCGGCTTGTTAGTGATGGAATATTTTATTATTATGGAGTCCCGTTTACCTTTAGTGGGGCACGCTGCAACATAGTATATTTCTTCATGAGTTTTTATATACATTATATATGAAGAAGAAGAGAAGAGAGCAGCGTTGGCCAAGTGGCTTCAGCGTGCGACTCTAATCCCTGAGGGCGTAGGTTCAATCCTCGGCTGTCCACCAATGGACTTTCTATGTGCGCATTTAACATTCCCTCGAACGGTGATGGAAAACATCGTGAGGAAACCGACATGTCTTAGACCCAAAAAATCAACAGCGTGTGTCAGGCACAAGAGGCTGATCACCTACTTGCCTATTAGTTTGAAAAATGATAATGAAACAGATTCAGAAATTTGAGGCCCAGACCTAAAAAGGTTGTAGCGCCACTGATTTATTTTTTATATGAATAAGACATATATTATTAATTGGTGCTTAATAATTATCATTTTATTAAGCACCAATGTCAGTCGATCCCACTTACAGCACCTGTCTCTCCTCTCAATAATAATACATTGATTTAATTACCAGATATGATGTTATTTCAGGCGCAATAAGTGTGTCCGTTAGCATTTAGATTTTAGAGAATTTGCTAAGCAGGGCTTTAAAAACGTTGCAAACAATCATACTAAAATAAATCGTATTAAAAGAAATTGTTTATTTTAATATGAGCGACAAATCTCAAAAAATATATAGAAAATAAAATATTGTTTTTGTTAAAAAAAATGGTTTTTTGATCTTAGCTGAAGTACTTATAATGTGATATACCTAAGTTTGAAAAATGTGTAAGTGATCCTGTTTTTGACCTTATACAATTGTTCACAAAATACTCTCTGTTATGTTTGTGTAGGTAAATAAGGCTTTAGCAAGGCCACACAAGGTAATATAGTAAAACAAACCTTGACATGAAATCATGATCATACTGAAAATGTTTACTGCAT